GATTTTCTTCCACTGAGGGGGTCCGAAGCATGCCCTCTCTGTGTGATCGGGTGGGACGGGTTGAAGTCATAGGGGAGATACTTTGCTTGAACTAAAGGCTAATTCTTATGTCTGTACATACAAAACATAATGTATATTTTAAATTCAGTATATAATCTGGAGCCCACTTTTTCCCACATGATACCATAAGATATTATTCTAGCAAACTTCTAATTTAGGAAGCTGTTATAAGAACGGGAGAGTAGAAAACCTGCTCTACAGCTGCTCTATATTCTGTGTGGACAGAATATCACACATATTGCTTTACATCCCAGCCAAATTTAAAAATAATTTTAAAAATCCTATTTAAGCAATATGCAGGGGGCTTCATCTGAGCAACTCTTCACTGTTTAATAGATCTGTGCATCCATACTATGTGTATAACTATCTACAAATGAATTTCCAGTCTTAATTTAATATGCTGTAAAATATGTGCAGTATTATAGTATCCATACATCCCATGACATACATAAATCATTTGTACATACAAATGGAAGAATGTTTAGAGGTACTCAGGAACCAATAATTCTGGAGAATCATAATAATGATAATTTAACTTGATTTCAGATAAGAAAAGAATATCTGGTTTTTCTGATTGGTTGGGCAGCATGGCAGGAGTCTTAATTCTGAACAGGAGGGGCACTTGGGGCAGACACTTAACAGAACTCAGATATGCCTGGCTAATAAGATGACATTAGAGTAGAACAACCATCTGTGAACCAAAAGGATTATAGATTTAACTTAAATATAAGCTATAGCTTATTTTTCCAGTATGAATAATTACTAAATAAACTTATTAAATAAGTTTTTTTTTTTTTACTTACTGTCTGTTCAGAGGCTTCTCCAATATTGTCATAGTCAAGAATTGCTTTGTACAAGGTATTGAGCAAATGAGATGCTCTTACAACATTGCGAGTATCAGGTGGTACTTCAGCAACTCCAGTGCTAAAAACCTTATGAAGTACTTTCAGTTGCGCCAATCGATGTGACAACTTATCTATGACTATGGAAAGGGTGATTGTAGTGTCTACAAAGAAGTGCAAATTCATGTTTTATTATCATATACAGAAAGCTTGTACTTCAGAAGATTAAAATAAAAGTTTTCAGTTAAAATGCAATTATTTTACCTTCATTGATTACGCATCTCTCAATTTCTGTAAGTTCTTCTTTGAAATTAATGAAATATTTATAGAGAGCTAGCACAAATGCCTGATACGTTCTGAAAGGGGCTTCTGCAGATTTCTTGGGAGTGGATATGGTTCCATGTATGCCACTTTCTGAGCTGTGACCCATGACTTCATCAATAAACTTTTGTAGCCTAAATACAACTTGTCCATATGCAGCTATACGCTCCAGCATTGATCTTAATGAATTCTAGAAAACAAAAGATTTTAAATTTTTTATTTATTTTAAAAAGGAAACAGAAAAAAAGATATAGAAATTACAAAATGCAGATATTACATAGAAACGTTTGCAGAGTAGTACAAGATACAATTAAAATAAAGTACAACCTATTCTTTGGAAAAAATGTGACTTTTACCCTTATATATCAGCTTGGATTGAAACAAAGATAGTTTCACAATAGTTTATCACTTGAACAAATATAGTTTCACAACAGTTTATCATAGTATTTTCAAATTTGTTAATTAAGGTTTTCTTTTTAGTAATATCTTTTAATAAGAGTTTAGCCTTCCTCAAATCTAAAGCTGTTCTATTTTGTTTTCATATTTTATCCCAATAGGAGTGTCACCTACATGAACTCCCAGGATGGGGCATAGTGGGGTGTGCAATATTCCAAGTATGCAGGAATATTTGGGAGGAGGGCTTATAAACGTATCTATATCTCTGTGTCATTTTAGATGCAAAATGCATGGAAATACCTGTATTACACTTTTATGAAGCACACAAAATTCTTCTAATATTAACTACTACAGAAAATTCAGGAGACTTTTGTTCCATATTTTGCATACCGTGGCAAAATCAGATTTAATATAAGTAATTTAAACACTTGCCACCAGTACTCTTAAATGATAAATTTAAAGAGTTTAATACTGATATTATGTTTGTTTCCTACTTGTTATTTTTCCTGGTAATATAATATCTGAGGTCTGGGAGACTTATATTCTGTCTCTCAATTACCAAGAAGGCCAGTTATTAAAAAAAAAAAAAAAAAACTTTAACAATATTATACAAATGTAAGTTGTTTCAGTTTACAAGTATTTGAATGAAACTCTGTGCTTATTTACAGGAAGATACTTTACTTTTTCACAAGGACCACCAATGTCTTTTTTATCATTTTCTTTCCCTTCCTTTTCCTCAGATCAGTTGCCTTTCTTCTCTTTTTAAGTAACTCTCTCCACGTTTGTAGCATTCCTAATAAGGAACTGCCCTTTTAACCCTTTTAACCCATTCTACTAATACAGAACTCTTTTATCACACATATAAATGTATATCCATATACCAAAATCAAAGTATTGCTTTATCATGAGGCTCTTAGGCTAGAAGCACAGCTGATTAGAGTATAAACAAGAGCCTGGCTAGTAATATTTAATTATTGGCTTAAACTCATCTGTCAGCCTGTTGGGTTGCTCCACTCTGTTTTAACTGATACTTTTTGATCTATTGGGAAGAAGTCCCTTAAGCGCAAGCTATTCTTACGTGGCCTCTCCCAAACTACTTCATATAATCTTAGTTGGCTCAGGCAAAAAATGTGATTGCCCAATAATTATTTGAAACTGAGTTCCAGTATTATTTGAACCAACTGCCCAGGTTTTACACAATTCCAAAATCAATTCATCAGAGAGACAGGGCTCCCTCCCTTTATTCTTTGACTCATTCAAACTACCACTGGGCCTTTACTAGGGCTCACTGAAATGCCCAACCATCAGCATGTCATGGCAGAAATCACAATCTCCCTATGGGTCATCATCTCTGCCCATGCAGCACCCAAGAGATAAAATCAATTACAATTTTTTTTACACTGTAGGTTTTATACATATTGTGCCAAAATCTTATTTCCCCCCTTTTAGCAGCAATCCCTGATCAATCTTCAATGCTGATTTTATGCTTGTTGATAAGGTCTTTCAACACAACATATAATGTTGCAAAGTTCTGTTATTTAGTATCAAAGGTCCAGCAAGTGGTCCATAGTAGGAACGACGATATGTTTTTGTTGTTTATCTACAGGTAGTCCTTGGGTTACAACAGTAATTGGGACGAGAATTTCCATCGCTAAGCGATGCGGTCATAGCGAAATCTCAGCAGTCTCACCCCATTGCCATTGTTAACCAAATCCGACCTGACATTAGGCAAGGACCCTTCCCGATCTGAGCCATTCCCAGCTTGGTCCCTCCCAGCCCCAAGCCTTAGTAAGGTAAGGGACTGCCTCCTCTTGAACGCCCCACACCCATCTATCTCCCTCCCACAACTGCTGTTCAGGTGCATTTCTCCAAATCACACGATGCTTCTTGCAATGCTTCTGAGGCCTTCCAAAGCATCGTGAGAAGGCAGCATGCAATTTGGAGAAGGGTATGAGCGGCCTCAGGAAGCAGGCCTGGTGGGGCCAGGAACTGCCTTACACAGGGCCAGGCTGGGCAGACCCTGACAGCAGCGGAAGAAGACATCAAGGGGCAGCTGGGGGCAGCAGGACCTGTGGAGTACAGGGTGGTGACGGCAGCTTGGGCTTTGTGCTCTGGTGCTGAGGTGGCTGGTTGCTGTGCAGGGCTTGAGGCAGCACTTTTTGGCTGTGGTGGTGGCACCAGCAGCACCGAGGCTGAAGTAGAGGCCCAGGGGCAGTGGCAGCTGGCTGAGACTCCTGAAGGCTCAGGGTCTCTACTTCAGACCCAGCAGCGCTGCCACCACTGTAAGCAGGGCAGACAAAAGGGCAGAGATTGGGGGAGACAGGCGGTGTGGTTGTTAAGTGCACGTGGGCTTCTGTGTGCCTGAATTTTGATCACGCAACCGCAGGGGCACTGCAACCGCCATAACTTTGGGGACCAGCTGTAAGTACCATTCATTCAGCACTGCCATAACTTCAAAAAGTTGCTGAACAAATGGTCATTAAGCAAGGGCTATCTGTATTGTCTTTTTTTGCTTTTATTTTTTTATTTGCTGGCTAAATAATTAATATTAAATTGAACTGCTGTATTTGCTTATTTATATTCACTGATCACTTCACTTACATGTGTCAAATGGGTTACTGTGATGTCATTTCTCACAGTTATCTTTCCATCATTCAGCTGAAATATAAAGAGTTTTTTTACACCTGAAAGAAGCCTGAAAAAATAAAAATGAGCTCAGCATATATTATAAGCAAACACTGCTTTTTTATATACAAGCAAATATTCATACACATATTCAGAAGGAAGCATTACATACTGAAACTGTAAAAATCCTAGATTTTCAACATAGACTTCATACTTTATGTATTGGCAAAATGGTACCCCATAATAGACACAGAACCACCCATTATTAGAAATAAAAAATAGATTTTTTTCTTTTAAAAAAGAAACATTTTATTACAGCTCCTTTTTACAGAGAAAGATTTAAAAGCAAGTATTAATGAAGGCTATAAAAGTTATAGCATCATTTGCCTTGTGAAACTCATTTTTCCTCATTTTGATTAACACAATTTCAAAATAATTGATTTTGAAGTAAGTAGTATTGTTAATACAGTAATAAAAAAAATAGTTTTCTGAATTTTAAAATTAACCATAAAGACTTATAAATAGTATCGATTATTCAACATGAAACAGACTTCAAGCGGGGTTTTTCTGGTAATTTCTTTCTTACCAAATTGTTTCACGAATGACCTGTGTTTCAGTGACAAGAATTCTCTCTTCTGGGACATATAATGGATCGCTATTATATAAGTGCTGTTCCCTAAGAGAAAAAAGTCTTTAATATTTTTAACTGATTGTATTGGTAAAGAACATCCAACATTATTTCATTTTCTTCTCCTACAGGCTCAATGAACTTATAGAACTACATCAACAAATCACTGGTAATGCTTGAAAGACAAACTGCATTATATTCCTCTAGCGAATAATACTTCAAATGTATTGTCGAAGGCTTTCACGGCCGGCATACGATGGCTGGTGTGGGTCTTCCG